CGTGGCTTAGGGATCCTCAATGAGTTGGACTCTGGGATCTGCAGCAGCTGTTCTTGTTTTGCCACAATGTTGTGTGTAAAGGCGCCTAAAGTCCTCGAAGAGCTTGAATCGGCTTGCAAGCTAAGGGCATCGTTCAAGCCCTAAATCCTAAACCCGAAACCCGAAACCCTAAACCCGAAACCCGAAACCCTAAACCCTAAACCCTGAGTCGGATCTTGAATCGGTCTGAAGCTCAGGGCATCGTTCCAGCCCGCGTGGACAGATGGAGCGAGCGACGGCCTCATGCAAGTGCCCAGATGCTTGGCCCTGTCGGTTGCTCAATGAGGGAATGAGGTACCTTAATTCGCCCTAAATATATCATTATATATGTATATATATATATATGTATATATATGTATGTATGTATATATATATATATATCTGCGTGTGTGTACCCTAAACCCCGAAACCCCAAGCCCATATATATATATATATATATATATTACACCCTTTAAGGAATTACATGGGGCTCCCCATTCCCTCACTCCCCACTAAGAACCAGGTAAGTTGGATGTAGATGGCGCGACGAGCCCGCTCTTTTTCCGAGGCTTCCCGCCCGGCTTTCCAGCAGGCTTTCCTCCAATGCCAGGCGCTGGCGTCCCTAAGCCCTAAACGCTCTAAACCCTATAATCCCTGAACCCTAAAAGCCCTAAAGCCTGAGAACCCTATACACCCTAAAACCCTAAGCGCTCTAACCCCTAACCCTAAAAGTTCTAAACCCTATAAACCCTATAAACCCTATAAACCCTATAAACCCTATAAACCCTATAAACCTGAAACCTAAACCCTAACCCCCTTACCATCTGCACAATCCTTCCGAAAACATCAGCGTCCAGGCTTGCCAAGCCTGCCAGCACAAGGCTTTCCGCCGGGCTTCGCGTCGCAGCCCCAGACGGAAATCTTCGGGCTCGGGGTGATTACGGGGTACCTCAGGTACACTAAGGATTAAGGGTACTTAAGGGGAATTAAGGGGTAATTCAGGGTGACTAAGGGTAATTGAGGGTAGTTACGTGAGTCTTAGGGCTTCGGGGGGAAATTTCGGGCACTTAAGGGCAATTAAGGGTTGAGTCTTAGGGTTTAGGGTGATTCCGGGCAATCTAGAATTTAGGGTATAGGGTTTAGGGTAATTTCGGGCAATAAAGGGTCTGAACATCTACAAACCCCGAAAAAACCCTACTGTCCAAAGAACACACACACAAAGAAACACGCAAACACGCACGCGCGCACACACACAAACACACATCCAAAGAAAACAAAAGCAGAAACCCTAAAGCACCTAGCAATCCCTTGAAGAACACAACGCATCACTTTCAATAAGCCCCAAAAAGGAAGCCTGCAAAAAGAACAGAAAGCAAACATCCGCTACAGGAAGCTCCTAAAATGCCCTAAAGCCTAAAGCCTTAAGCCTTGGAAGCAGCCGCCGCACTGCAGGCCGCTTCGCGGACCTCCAAGCCCAGGAGAAGAGAGACTGCAAGATTCCTTGCCCTCGCTGCTTCTTCGTAGGGTTTAGGGTTTAGGGTTTAGGGTTTAGGGTTTAGGGTTTAGGGTTTAGGGTTTAGGGTTTAGGGTTTAGGGTTTAGGGTTTAGGGTTTAGGGCAAGCAGATGTTTAGGGTTTCGTAAGGGGTTTGTCAGATGCCCTCGCTAGAAGAGATGCTTCGCGACAGCTGCCAGGACCCCTGCCCGATCCTGGGCTGGGAATGCTGAAGCAGGTGCAAGAAGGTTATTGTTTTTTGGTTGGGGGGTTTTTGGGGGATTTAGGATTTAGGGCTTTAGGGTTTAGGGGTTGAGGGTTTAGGTTAGGGGTTTAGGGGTTTAGGGGTTTAGGGTTTAGGGCTTAGGGTTTAGGGTTAGGGTTTAGGGTTTAGGGTTTAGGGTTTAGGGTTTAGGGTTTAGGGTTTAGGGTTTAGGGTTTAGGGCTGCTGGCCCGCCTCTGGCTTGCAGGCATGTGGGCCTCCCTCACCGCCTCAGAGGATGTCTGCAGAGGCCCATGGGCACATTCTCTGGTGGCCAAAGTGTCATGGGATCAAAGGAGGGACCCTTGTTAGGGTTTAGGGTTTAGGGTTTAGGGTTTAGGGTTTAGGGTTGCTGGCACGTCTCGGCTTTTGGGGGGTTCTGTAAAGGATAGTTCGGTTTCCAGGGCCGATTATAAGGTATTTTAGAGGGGTTATTCAGGGGTATGAGATCAAGGGTCCCTTTCTGGGGGTCCCTTCTTCTAGTTACCCCTTAACAGTGATACCCTTTGGCCCCCTTTTCTTGGTTCTGGAATGACAAAGCCAGAAGGGGCTTTCCCAAATATGGGTCACCCTTCAATCATACACAATCCTGTTATCCTGGCTAGAATGTTGGGGTAGATTACCCTGAGCCCTAAACCTTTCGTATAAATTTTGGGAAATGCCCATGTGGAGTCAAGCTCCACATCTTGCCCCTGAGGCCTACGATGAGATTTGAGCCCGCGGTGCGTGGGACATTCTGTTTCACCTTCTCAGACTTGGCTTGAGGTGCTTTGGGTTTAGGGTTTAGGGTTTAGGGTTTAGGGTTTAGGGTTTAGGGTTTAGGTTTAGGGTTTAGGGTTTAGAGGCTTTATCGGGTTCAAGCTGTAGAGGGTTTAGGGTTTATAGGCTTTAGGGCCAGGGTTTACAGGGCTTAAGAGTCTTTCAGGGTTTAGAGGGTTTAGGTTTAGGGTTGAAAGGTTGTGGGATTTGCAGGGCTTAGGGTCTTGTAGGGTTTTTGGGGTTTGTAGGGTTTAGGCAGGCCCGTCGAGGAGAGCAGTGAGGAAAGAGATGGAAAGAGGATGGGCAGCCTGACGCGCGGCTTCGAAGAAAAGCGACACTGAGCCGTTGCATGTCTGCGCGATTTCTTACTACTTGGGTTTTGGGGTTTAGGGGTTAGGGTTTGGGGTTTAGGGTTTAGGGTTTAGGATTTAGGGTTTAGGGTTTAGGGGGGTTTACGTGCCACCAAGACATTGCAAATCTGATCTTCCGTTCGCCGCATGCCAGCATCACGCATCCCAGACGGTTCAGATTTTTAAGACAGGGTGGGACGCTGTAACAGCTTGCACAAACAGGACCTCATCTGGATGTCTTAGTGCTTTGGGGCTTGCAGCGCAAACACACTCGAACTCGATCAGCACTGTCAGCACTGACTCAGCTCAGACAAAGATGGCTGAAGAAGTAGGGCCAACTACAAATGCTGCTGACCAGGAGAAGGCCACGCACCCGGAAACGTCTTAGAGACACGAGCGCAGTGATGTACAAGAACCTACTGGTTCTTCGTAGGGAGCTCGGAAGTTCGGTGCCTCATATCTTTATATCTTTAAGAACTAGTAACCTAAACCCTAAACCCTAAACCCTAAACCCTAAACCCTAAACCCTAAACCCTAAACCCTAAACCCTAAACCCAAGTAACGACTCTTTCCGACTACGGCTAGCTCACGAGCTCCAGCTGCTGAGGCCAGCGGCCTCAAGGATGCTGGGGCCGAAGTGGCGACGGGTTCCGATGCCAAGGTGGTGTGTTTCGAAAGGGAGGGTTTAGGGTTTAGGGTTTAGGGGTTTAGGGTGTAGGGTGTAGGGTTTAGGGTTTAGGGTTTAGGGTTTGGGGTCCTAAAGCGCCCCTGAAAGCCTTAGCCCCAAGAAACTCTAAAACTCTCAAGCCCATAGACTAAAAAGCCCAAAGGCCCAAATTCCAGAACAGTAACCCTAGAAACTCCCTATCCCTAAACTCTCTTCCTACTCCTTCTTAGTGAATCCGGCACCTTACATCACCCCATATACCCTGTAAGGGATACTTAAACCCTAATAACCCTAATAAACCAAATAACCCTAATAGCCCTAATAACCTCATAACCCTCATAACCCTAATAACCCTAATATCCCTAATAACCCTAATAACCCTAAGCCCTAAGCGCTTGTAAGCAAAACATTTCCACCCTAATACCCTAGTAACCCTAAACCCTCATAACCCTAAACCCTCATAACCCTAAACCCTAGTAACCCTAAACCCTCATAACCCTAAACCCTAAACCCTTAGCCCTAAACCCTAAACCCTAAACCTAATAACCCTAAACCCTTAGCCCTTGTAAGCAAAACCCTCTTCGACAGGTGTTGGAGCGCTTTCAGGCCTGCGATGTGGCCAGCGGCACCTTCAAGTATGTGCAGGCTGGAGCACCTGAGGAGGGTTTAGGGTTTAGGGTTTAGGGTTTAGGGTTTAGGGTTTAGGGTTTAGGGTTTAGGGTTTAGGGTTTAGGGCCCTGGAGGCTTGGACCAGATGGGGGTCATCAAAAACTTGGGCTCCTTGTTGGCAGGGTCTTTACACAGCCAAATCCTTACTAGCTGAGTGAGCACACTTTACACTTTTTGGGATACTATACTCCCCTATAGAACTGAAGGTGTGCACTTCTTTGGGGCTTATGAATTCAGCAACGGTTAAGAATATGGGGAAGCTGCGAGCCATGTGAGCGGCCGGTGCGCGGAGGGGGGGAGGTGGGCACCGAAATCCTACGAAACCCCACACGCCGGTACACTTCATGATGACTGCTATACACCTTACTTAGTGTCTATGAGTTTAGGGCTTAGGGTGGGCTGGAAACTCTTATAGGCCTTCTAAGCACCCTTGCAGGTGCACGCCATAGCGTCAGACGGAACCCGCAAGGCGCGCGGCCTCGGTTCCAACCGGAGCGTTCCACTTCGGAAGAGCGCAAGCTTCCGTGCTTCGGGGGGGTTGAGGGGTTTAGGGTGTAGGGTTTAGAGAACCGGGAATTGCTAAATTTAGTACTCAAGGTGAGCTTGAGCGTAGTCAGAAAGTTCTATCACTTGAGCGTGAGCTCGTCAGGAAAATCCTGCCAGCCTTTCAAGATTCCAGTTCGTTGTGAATCCCACAACCCGTAATTGTACATAACGGATCCTAAACCGGCCCTAAGCCCCAAGCTCAGCTGCCGTTGCTGCACCCCATAAACCGCATCTGCATGAGAAGTGCTGGTTATATGCAGCCCACCATCGGCTTAATCAGCTGCAGCTCGGAGACCATGGATACCGCAGATGCATCGGTGACGGTCGTGCAGCTGCCCCCGGCCTTTGTCGGGGAGCAGGCTGTCTATGGCCCACATTATCGGGGCGGCTTGGCACCCCCACCCGAGTGGTGGGCGAACTTTGCGCATCCGCTGGCGCCGTGGCCACCTGCACCCCTCCAATGTACCCCAGCCCCAGCCATGCAGCATCAGTGCTACTGGCCACACCCACCACCACCGCCACCGCAGCAATTCACCCCGCAACCTCCAATGCAGGGCCAGTTCTGCTGGCCACCGCCACCTCAACAATTCTTCGTGATGAACTGCTTCGCAGTCAGCCCAGGCTTGAGCTACCAGCCGGTCCCGTGGCAACCGCCAGTTCCACCACAGTTCCAAATTCAAGTTCCCTGCTTTCAAGCACCACCAGCCCCAGCACCAGTGACTGCCTTCATTAACGCCCCTCCACCTTCCGCACCAGTACCTGCCTTCATGCACCCCCCGCCGCCTCCCGCAGCCGCCCCCAAGCTGCCTGGACCCATTCTCGACTCCCCCGCCATGGCGCCCCCAAAACCTCCACGCCCCTCCTGGGCCGACATATCTGAGGTACCAGTACCGGCAAGCCCCTGCCATCCAGAACAGTCACAAGAGGAACCATCGTCTTCCTCGGCTCCTCAGAGCCTCCCGCACTTGTTGGGCAACCGTCCCAAGGCATCGAAGTCCAAAAAAGGACGCAAGCGCACGTAGAGGCTGGGACCTGCATGTGCGCGTTGGCAAGAGCCATCAGCTCAGTTGTCAGCAAATCCATGCACAGACAATCAAAACATCTCGGTGACCAGGTGGCTGGCACCAAGATGACGCCGTGCCTGGGCTGCAATTCGGGGTTTAGGGTTTCGGGTTTAGGGTTTAGGGTGTATAGGGTTTCGGGGGAGGTGTCTTAGAAAGAAGCGGGTTCGAGTTCTTCGAGCCCTTGTCTCCTCTCCCCTTTTCGGAGCTGTGAGGCACCAGACTGCACCGGCTCTCCGCAACCCGCGAACGTGGCCACTGGTGAGACGAACTGAAGCGAGGGCAAAGCTTCCCGCTAACAGTGCCGCAGTGTCACCAAGTAGAAGCCTTCCTAGAAGGAATGCTTGCGAGCACTACTCGAAACTTACTGCTCAAGGTGAGCTTGAGCGTAGTCAGAAAGTTCTATCACCCGAGCGTGAGCTCGTCAGGAAAATTCTGCCAGCCTTTCAAGATTCCAGTTAGTTGTGAATCCCACAACCCGTAATTGTACATAACGGATCCTAAACCGGCCCTAAACCCCAAACTCAGCTGCCGTTGCTGCACCCCATAAACCGCATCTGCATGAGAAGTGCTGGTTATATGCAGCCCACCATCGGCTTAATCAGCTGCAGCTCGGAGACCATGGATACCGCAGATGCGTCGGTGACGGTCGTGCAGCTGCCCCCGGCCTTTGTCGGGGAGCAGGCTGTCTATGGCCCACATTATCGGGGCGGCTTGGCACCCCCACCCGAGTGGTGGGCGAACTTTGCGCATCCGCTGGCGCCGTGGCCACCTGGACCCCTCCAATTTACCCCAGCCCCAGCCACGCAGCATCAGTGCTACTGGCCACACCCACCACCACCGCCACCGCAGCAATTCACCCCGCAACCTCCAATGCAGGGCCAGTTCTGCTGGCCACCGCCACTTCAACAATTCTTCGTGATGAACTGCTTCGCAGTCAGCCCAGGCTTGAGCTACCAGCCGGTCCCGTGGCAACCGCCAGTTCCACCACAGTTCCAAATTCAAGTTCCCTGCTTTCAAGCACCACCAGCCCCAGCACCAGTGACTGCCTTCATTAACGCCCCTCCACCTTCCGCACCAGTACCTGCCTTCATGCACCCCCCGCCGCCTCCCGCAGCCGCCCCCAAGCTGCCTGGACCCATTCTCGACTCCCCCGCCATGGCGCCCCCAAAACCTCCACGCCCCTCCTGGGCCGACATATCTGAGGTACCAGTACCGGCAAGCCCCTGCCATCCAGAACAGTCACAAGAGGAACCATCGTCTTCCTCGGCCCCTCAAAGCCTCCCGCATTTGTTGGGCAACCGTCCCAAGGCATCGAAGTCCAAAAAAGGACGCAAGCGCACGTAGAGGCCGGGACCTGCATGTGCGCGTTGGCAAGAGCCATCAGCTCAGTTGTCAGCAAATCCATGCACAGACAATCAAAACATCTCGGTGACCAGGTGGCTGGCACCAAGATGACGCCGTGCCTGGGCTGCAATTCGGAGTTTAGGGTTTAGGGTTTAGGGTTTTGGGTTTAGGGTTTAGGGTGTATAGGGTTTCGGGGGAGGTGTCTTAGAAAGAAGCGGGTTCGAGTGCTCGAGCCCTAGTCCTCTCCCCTTTTCGGAGCTGTGAGGCACCAGACTGCACCAGCTCTCCGCAACCCGCGAACGCGGCCTCTGGTGAGACGAACTGAAGCGAGGGCAAAGCTTCCCGCTAACAGTGCCGCAGTGTCACCAAGTAGAAGCCTTCCTAGAAGGAATGCTTGCGAGCACTACTCGAAACTTACTGCTCAAGGTGAGCTTGAGCGTAGTCAGAAAGTTCTATCACCCGAGCGTGAGCTCGTCAGGAAAATTCTGCCAGCCTTTCAAGATTCCAGTTAGTTGTGAGTCCCACAACCCACAACCCGTAATTCTGCATAGTGGATCCTAAACCGGCCCTAGACCCCAAACTCAGCTGCCATTGCTGCACCCCATAAACCGCATCTGCATGAGAAGTGCTGGTTATATGCAGCCCACCATCGGCTTAATCAGCTGCAACTCGGAGACCATAGATGCCTGAAACGTCCCTTTTGGGGGAGTCCCGTTAAGAAGGGGCTTCCAAGTCTATGTAGGGGTCTTACGAGTGAGAACCCCCCCCCCCCCTCCCCAGTGTGGGAAAAGACCCCCTAAACCCTAAACCCTAAACCCTAAACCCTAAACCCTAAACCCTAAACCCTAAACCAATCTCCCAAAAGCTCCGAGGTTATCGTTCGCTCAGCCCCTGGCTCCTACCATGCCGATGTGGCGGAGCTGCTATGCCAGGTGCACCCAAACTTGGTTTATGGGAGTTTAGGGTTTAGGGTTTAGGGTTTAATTAGGGTTTAGGGTTTAGGGTTAGGGTTTAGGGTTTAGGGTTTAGGGTTAGCTTTTGGGGTTGTTTGGCGTTTGGGGGTTTGAAGGGGCTTGTTAGGCTGGCTTTAGGGGTTAGGGGCTTTGGGAGCTTTAGGGGTTCCCGGGATTTAGGGGTTTAGGGGTTTACCCGACATCCTGTGGCTTCAGCTCCCGTCCGGAGCCATCTTGGTCTCGGGTTCAAGGGGGTACATGGGACACTTTGTGTCCCTAAACCTATCTCAACGGAATCCTTGGACGGAAAGGACCTTTAATCCTAGTAGCAGATAAACCCCCCAAGTATAGGCTTTAGGGTTGAGGGCTTACCCTCCTTTAGTCCTTTAGGAGAAGGCATGTGGAACTGAAGCTTGAATGCTCGAGCCCGTGAGGAGCACGTTGTAGATGACATGGAGCCGAGATGGCGCAGCTTGGCCCGACCTACCCTCCGACCGCAGACAAGCTGCTGGAGGGGAGTCTTTCCCTGCACTGCCGCCGATCTTCCCCAAACATCTCAGAAGAGAGCAGGTTTGAGGCATGCCTTACCCAGATTATCCGTCTCCGTCGTGGCAGCTTTGCTTGCGAGACGAAGCCCCGTCGCACGAAGCGCCCGTGAGCCAGCGCGCGAGCCCCCTGAAGGCGAGGATCCTCTCGCCGGAGTCCTGCCTTTTGCTGCGGCTGCTGTGATTGGCCTGATCGCCTTCGCGCCCGCCCTCGTCGTGGGCTCGGCTGCTCTCTGGTGGTCCCTCCTCCTTGCTGGGAGTGTCGTGGGGCTGCTCTACTTCAGTGTGGCCCTTCCCCTGATGATCCTATATTCCTCTTGGGAATTATTCTTTATTTTGTTCATACAAAAACCCAAGAGGGTATGAAAAAGAATCTTTGTATTAAGGTTCTATAAGGGGAGTATAGGATCAGCGCAATCGCGGTGGCCGGGCTTCTCCTGGTGCCTCTGCTGGCCGCCAACTTCGTGGCGGCGACGGCCATCTCCTTTGTGGCCTCCCTGGTGGCAGCTGGAGCCGGAGGCTTGCTGGTTTGGGTGGCCATGGGCAATCCTCTTCCCTTTGAGGCCATGTCAGCCCTTCTGCCCAAGGAGTCCAAGGCCCCCTCCCTCGATGCCCAAGAGGATCCCTTTCAAGACTGGGATCGCCGATTTGCGCGGAATTCCCAGGCCGCGCGGCCTGAGTCTGCGCAGCCCGCGCAGCCTGCTCAGCCGGCTCAGCCCGCGCAGCCCGCGGAGCCCGCGGAGCCCGCGCAGCCTGCGCAGCCGCGCGCGAGACTCCGGCTCGAAGACTTGAGCTCGACCTCCAAGCTGGCGGATTTGCGGGCATACATTGCCCAGGCCGGGCTCATGGTAGCTTGAAAAACGGGAAGCACTGTAGCACAGTGGAAGCAATCCCAAAATCCCTAATCCCTGAACCCACTGCTGAATCCCACCCTTGTAAGCGCTTCTTGTTCTTGCTCCCACGAGTAGATATTTCTGCTACAGGAGGGGTTTTCCATCAAGACCGGCGGCCGGAGCAAGTCTGAGATTTGGGCAGAGTTGATCCAGAATGTGGCCAAGCGCTTCATCAACGAAAGCTAATTCCATTCGGCGTCGCATATCAGAGGGGGTGGGGGGGGGTTCTCTGAAGCACGGTCCCTTGTTGAGGTTCTTGTTTTAGTACGGGTCGTGTAGCTCGGGTAGCCAAGAAGGGACCATACTTGAGAGACTCACCCACATCCTGAGCTTGGCAGCTATTGCCTTCAACGAGCTGCGAGACAGTGTCCTGGTCCATCCAGCATGGGTGCGCATGCGTGACAAGTCGGAAACAGCTACCAGGACTGTGGGAGGCGAAGAAGACCAAAAGGCCATTGAATGGTGGTTGCAAAGTTGCTTGGCCGCGTCATGCATCGACATTGCTGAGGGATGTTGTAGACATCCAGTAGAACCTGATAAAGTGCTCCTTACATTCCATACATCCTATCCCTGCGCGTGCTTCAAGCCACGCGGTGTGTAAAGACGAAAGAGCCACTGCTATTTGAAGGCCTTGCGAGACAAGGGCCTGCAGTATGAGATCCCTGGTGGTGGCCGAATCCGGCGGTGCCCTCAACTGCGTAAGCACTTGCAACTTGACCGAACAGCATGGCAACGGAGCTGACTCGATCCGTGGACGCGTGGATGCTTCATGTGCATGCGCTCCCGCACTCGAGTCATGTTCTACTCTGTCTGGGGGCATGGATGATTACCCTAAACCCTAAACCCTAAACCCTAAACCCCAAACCCTAAACCCTAAACCCTAGACCCTAAACCCTAACCCTAAACCCTAAACACATGCACACTTTCCGCGGCTTTTCCCACAAAGGCGCGATGATGAGTCCAAGGAGATTGAGATCTACGGGCACAGTAAGGCACGAGTTCCTGACTCCCAATTCCCTGTGGGAGGTTTAGGGTTTAGGGTTTAGGGTTTAGGGTTTAGGGTTTAGGGAGCCCCTGGCTTGAACGGAAGCCTCCCAGAAAGCCTTCGATTAGCTTTTTTTTGTTGGCCTTTTACTTTGTCGTAGTTGGGTAACATTTTACATTTTTAAGGGTACTTAAACCCAATAAGGAATATAATCTTAAAATTTTAGTACTATCCCAACCATGAACTAGTTTAGGGCTCGTAGAAATTGAAGCAAGGAGGCTGTGTCCCGAGTTTTGGGGAGAAGATTGAACGACAGCTTGCGCCAGCTTAGGAGCGGGTTTCGGTTTAGCCTTGGGGTGACGGGGTTTAGGGTTTGGGGTTTAGGGGTTTAGGGTTTAGGGTTTAGGGTTTAGGGTTTAGGGTTTAGGGTTTAGGGTTTAGGGTTTAGGGGACTTGGTGTAGGGAGGGGCCCTCCGCACGTCGGGATTGGGATAAGCACAAGTCACATTTGTCAGTGCTCTTGGGCCCGCCAAGCTTAATTTGTAAGCCCATCGAAGCCGTAGGTTCGAAATTTATCTAAGTTTATCCTGGCATTCAGGGTTTAGGGTTGCCCTAAACCCTAAACCCTAAACCCTAAACCCTAAACCCTAAACCCTAAACCCTAAACCCTAAACCCTAAACCCTAAACCCTAAACCCTAAACCCTAAAGAACCCTAAAGCCTAAGAGCCCCATGGAATGCTGTCCCAGGGCTTTGGGATGCCAGATCATTCCATCTCCGCGGCCATCTGCCGGGCCAGCTTCCCGGGCTACAAGGCCTGGGTCACATGACAGGGTTTAGGGCTTCTTGGTTCCGAAACTGTCTGTTTGGGGTTTAGGGTTCAGGGTTCAGGGTTTAGGGTTTAGGGTTTAGGGTTTAGGGTTTAGGGTTTAGGGTTTAGAGTTGCTTAGGGTTTGGGGTTTGGGGACGGGTTTTGGGCGAACGTAGGCCTGTTGGGACGTTTGGGACTTTCGCATGTCTTTCGCTGACTGTTGGCTAGTGGGGAATGAGGGAATGAGGTACCTTATATAATCCCTTCAAGGGTATAAGCCCTAAACCCTAAACCCTAATTCCCTACTAGTCACGAGGAAGTTTTGGGGCCTTCTTGATCTTGCGAGGCAGGCCCCTTTCGGTCGGCCCCTTTCTTCGGTGCCTTGTGGAGCCTCTTGACCCCAAGCCCTAAACCCTAAACCCTAAACCCTAAACCCTAAACCCTAAACCCTAAACCCTAAACCCTAAACCTTGTTGAAGCCGTGGTGGGCTTGTTGGGATACCTCAGATCTATTTGGAATGGGTGGCGCGCCTTGGCCCTTTGCCATTCATTGGGGTGAGCCGTGATGTCTCATGATTTTTCGTGGGGGTGCGTTTTGGAGTTTTCCTGCACGCTGGTTTGGGAGGTTTGGTGGCTGCTGTGATTGTGGAAGGTGGTAAACTGGGAGCTGGCGCAAGGGACGTCAAGACCTACATTACACAGGACTTGAGGGCTTAGGGTCCCTAGCGTTAGTAGTTCA